GCCCAGCTCCGGGGCCCTCTGTGGGCCGCGACGCAGACCATGTACACCATGGCCAACCAGGCTGCCTATGCCTTCCCCGCCGAGGGCTGGCTCTCCCCGGCCCCAGCGCAGGGTACCCCAGGGCCAACCAAGGATGGAGGGGAAGGGCCCAGCTCCGAGGCCAGTCCACCTCTCCCCTAGACATCAGAGCGTCAGAAGAAGCTTGATTTGAGCCAGGGGGACCCAAGTCTGCTCAGCAGAGACCACAGCTCTGACAGTGAAAGCGAAGCCTTGAAACTCCCTAGATTCTCCAAGATGACCAGCAGGGCTGATTGTTCGTCACAAACCTGGGGTGGTGATAGGAAAAGAACTTGAGAAATGGACTCAGAATGGTGAAATCTGGGTTTCCTTGAGGACTCAGATTACGGAGTTTAAAATTCATGCTAGACAATGCATGCACTTTGAGTATCTTGGACAAACCAAGTTGATGTATTAATAACCACCACCCTTCCCACCCCACCCCCCACCTCCCACAGGCCCCTTACCTCTCTGGAGGGCTAACGCTGAAGTGCATGTACCATACCGGCATTATTTTATAATGAGGGAAAATATCAGGATGTAATTCACATGTATTTGCACACTTTGAAGTGTAGCACTGAAAACATTCATATCCTTTTTTTTTTTTTCTTTTTTCTGAAAAAGCACTAGATCTTTCCTCATTCACCTCCAGTACATGGAGGCAGATATTCCCAAAGCTTTAATAAGAATCTGTCTTGGGAAATGTTTATAGTTTTCAGTTTGATGAAACGATGGTGATGCCACCACATATTTTTGTTTAAGTTAGATAAAACCTAAGTCAAGATATATGAAAAGGTTTCTTGACCTTGTGTATTTATTCTTATGTACCTACTTTTAGATTTTCTCCTACTTCATAGATTTCAAATTGCCATGGTTTCATAGAGTACATTAAATCTCATATATATATTGTTGTTGGCTTTATATATTATTGTATTTAATTCCATACAGTTTTTATTTGCATTTTACACGGGGATCCTATAGTCTCAGCATATAAATGTATATAATTTTTATGTAACAAAAATGAAATTAAAGTTTCAGAAATCTATTTTAGCCTTTGTCATCTTATTTCCATATCACTTAGTGACAAAGTAAACAGTAATGTTTTGGGGGAAGGAAATGGCAACCTACTCAAGTATTTCTGCCTGGGAAATCCCATGGACAGAGGAGCCTGGGGACTGCAAGAGTCAGACACAACTTAGTGACTAAACCACCATCATGATGATGGAAGTTAACTATAAGTATAATGGCAATAAAAAAAATATAACACAGAGACATGCACACACATTCACAGAGCTCGAATATATCCACATTGTTAGGCAACAGAGCTCCAGAACTTTCTTCACCTTGAAAAGTTGAAACTCTGAACCCATTAAATTACTCTCTGCATCTCCCTCCCCTCAGTCCCTGATAACTATCATCCTACTATTTCTCTAACTATGAATTTGACTATTCTAGATAGTTCAGTAAGTGAAAGCATATGATACTTGTGCTATTGTGACTGGCATAGTTTGCTCAGCATAATGTCCTCAAGGTGCATCCATGCTGTAGCATGTGACAAGATTTCCCTTCTTTCGAAGGCTGAATATTATCCCTTTGTATGTTTCTGTCACTCAGCGTAATGCCTTTGGTATTCAGTCATGTTTTTGCACAGAGTAAGAGTTTATTATTTTTCATTGCTGACTGCCATTCAGTTTTACAGATTGACTAATGGTCGTTTATCTGTCCACCATTTGTTGGACATTTGGGTTCCTTCCAGCTCTGGGGCATGCGTGTGTGCTAAGTCACTTCAGCCGAGTCCGACTCTTTGTGACCCTGTGGTCTGCAGCCTGCCAGGCTCCTCTGTCCATGGGGTTCTCCAGGCAAGAACCCTGGAGTGGTTTGCCCTGCTCTCTTCCAGGGGATCTTCCTAACCCAGGGATGAAACCCACATCTCTTGCATCTCCTGCATTGGCAAGCAGGTTCTTCACCACCAGGGAAGCCCTCTGTTTTAGAGACAACATAATTCTATAAATATGCCACATAGGTCTGTTTTTGGTGATATAAAATTTTTTATTTTCATGGGTAAATATTTAAGATATTCTGCAAACTATTTATAGCATTCATTCTTTAGATTAAAATTTTAGATTCCATCTGAAATGAGGTCACAGTTTCACAAGCCATGGAGTGTTCACAAAACAAAATTTTGAGCACTACCAATATACCAGGAAACCCAAAATTTTCATGAAAGTTGCATCAGTAAACATCTGTCAAAACAAGAGAACAGAGATGCTACTGAATTAGTCCCATGTGAACAAATGGATGCTTTATCTGTCATAAATTTTAGGAAAATTTATTCTGCTTCCAAGCATTTACCCAGATAGCCTAGGTTAACTGTAGAGTTATCAGAATGGCTCTGAGGCAGTGTGGAGGGCAGCTGTGAAGATTTCCAGATCTTATCACTGTCACCCTGATATAGATCAGGCTCTTGGAGTCAGTCACCCTACAGTAAACTGATTCATTGATTACATAAAGATCCTTGCCTCCCTGCTTTGGTCTCAAGATGCCTTCTTGAGTCATTGGGCTTTTCATTCCCTCTGACATCCAATATAATGCAATCACACAGATCTAATCATGGGTGTCCATGGGAATTGACCTGGCAGATCTCATCCACAAGACCAGAAGAGAAATTTATTTCCTGTTTACTTTTTATTTGCATTTTCATTTGATCACATATGTATCTGATACACAACTATAACTTGATCTTTGTCTTTGCCAAGCATTTTTAGAAATTCTAACACATTTATACATACTTTTAACACTATTATTTTCTATGAGTGCAAAATGTTTACATACATGTCCTTATGCTATCTAATTTTATATCATGACTTTTCTCCCAATTGTTTTTGAGAAGATTTTCTTCTTACACATGTACCTCTAGTTCATTGAGCTTCACCACTGTGTAATATTCCAATTCTCTCATTAGCTGGTTGGTTTTTCTAGGGTCCAAGCTCCTATTCCAAAAGTTTGTATGGACCCCCTACTCAAAGTTGCCTTATTAACATAAAAACAAAAACACGTCTGTCATTCAGGAAACTCCAATAGTGGTTTGTTTTTTTTTTTTAATTGAAGGCTAGTTGATTTACAATGTTGTATCAGTTTCTGGTGTAGAGCACAGTGTTCAGTTAGTGGAAATTCCAAAGGTTTTTTGAAGTTTTGCACCAGAGCCTTGGACAAAGGAGATATGTTTATTCTCAACTGATAAATCATCCAGAAATATGCCAAAGTGCATAAGAAAAGTTAATAAGCAGCAAAATCTACAGTGAATATAACACTAATAGTTGATATTTGGGAAGTGGAAATTTCTATCGAAATGGTCTTATTCTTCAAATCCAATAGTCTGATACAGGTCAAATAAAAAAAATTTATACTATATATATATAGATATAGTTGAATTCCTTCCTCAAGCTTCTTTCTCAAGCGCCTGACTGTAGCCTACTCCTTGCACACAATCTCCAAAGGCGTCCCTTGGACAATGACACATTTAGGGTTGAAATTTTTCCTCACTTAGTTTCTGATGCCTCCAAGTGAATGGGAAACAGAAGTTTAAATTATGCTCTGGAGGGAAAGTGAAGTGAATGTCTCTCAGTCGTGTTCGACTCGTTGCGACCCCATGGACTATACAGAATTCTCCATGGCCAGAATACTGGAGTGGGTAGCCTTTCCCAGCTCCAGGGGATCTTCCCACCCCAGGGATCGAACCCAGGTCTCCCACATTGCAGGGGGATTCTTTACCAGCTGAGCCACAAGGGAAGCCCAGGAGGGAAGTGACTATAAAATTGCACATTCCCCACGTGCACAATTTTGCATTTCCTGTCACACTACCAGTTTCCATCACCCGCTCTAAAACTCAGGCTTTTGGCTAAGTAAATAAAAAGCTGTGGGACTTCGTTGGTGGTCCAGTGGTTAAGAATCTGCCTTCCAGTGCAGGGGACAAGGGTTCAATCCCTGATCAGGGAGGGTTCCACATGACACAGAGCAGCTAAGCCCCTGCACCACCACTACTGAAGCCAGAAAAGTCTAGATCGCAGGCTTGGCAACAACAGAAGCCACCGCAAGGAGAAGCCCACACAAGGAAACTACTGAAAAGCCCAAGGAGCAAGGAAGACCCAGCACAGTCAAAAATAAATAAATAAATTTAAAATAAATAATGGTGGCTCAGAGGGTAAAGAGTCTGCGTGCAATGCAGGGCACCCAGGTTCGATCCCTGGGTGGAGAAAATTCCCTGGACAAGGAAACGGCAACCCACTCCAGTATCCTTGCCTGGAGAATCCCCATGGACAGCGGAACCTGGCCGGCTACAGTTCGTGGGATCGCAAAGAGTCGGAGACGACTGAGCAACTTCACTTTCACTTCCAAAAAGGTGTAACTGCCAGAGGTCTCAAGTTCCGGGATCCAACCCCGCCCACAGCGCCAAGCCCCGTCCCAGGTCCAGGACTCCTGCATCCTCGCTGCTCAGAGGATCCAGCTTCTTCATCTGCTGGCTCTTTCCACGTAAGTGGATGCGGGGGTGGGTGGGAGTGAAAGTGTTAGTCGCTCAGTAGTGTCCGACTCTGTGCGACCCCACGGACTGCAGCCCACATTTCTCTGTCCATGATTCCCAACTTTCAGCTTCTAATAGAAGTGGCCTGCGCATCTCTAATTCTGCACCGAGGCCTGGCTTCAAAGGACAGCAGACAAGTGCAGAGGATCCAAAGTAGAGAAACCTGTCTAGAGGGAAGAGGAACAGACCAGAAACTCCCAGGGGCCGGTTCGAGGACCAGACCCACAGGCGGAGCCTAGGCATAGACGCCCCCCTCCATCCACCCGAAAGCTATAGCCCCACCCCTCGGCGGCCCAGGCCCCGCCCCGCCCCGCCCCAGTGAGCACGCGCAGTTCCCTGAAGAACCGGAAGTTATTTCCGCGGAACAACGGGTACACTCGGAAAAGAAAGTCTTGGTTTCACTGGTGACCGCGTTATGCGTCCTTCGGACATCGCGTCCCCACACCAGGGTTTCGGAGCGCCTCCCAGTAAGTTAAAACCCCTGAACGCGGTCGTCGCTCTTGCTCTGAGTCCTCTCATTTCGCCTGTCTCGGCGTCACCTGAAGACTTTCGGTCCCGGTTCCTGAGGCAGGCACCGGCCCCAAGTTTCTGCCTTCGGTCCGTATAGACGCTGACCTCCTGCAGCGCTGTTTTCCTGCTCTGACTGCCTTTATCAAACCTCTCTCCGACTCCCGGCTCCCTGCCCGACCTCACCCTCCTCGGCCCGATTTCGTTCTGTCAAATCCACAATCCTGGAGGATGGATTACCCTTGACCTCCAAGGAGAGCGGAAGGGGAGTGCTGAGGCAGAAGTTTCTGCAACTAGTGAGGCATCAAATATTGTGCAGGAAGAACGTCAGGTATTGCAACAAGGCGAGGCCAGTCTGTGGGAGGAGGAATAGAAAGAGGAGGAAACAAAATGATGCACAGAAAAGAGGAAGAAGCGCAGAAATGGACAGAGGAGACGAGAGACACAGAAGGATCCAGGGAGACATACAGAGAAAAAAAGCACACAGCGGTAGAGAAAGCGGGAGTACCCAAACCTAGGTGAATATTGAGTAGATTGGATATGGACTGTTAAGTTCTGAAGTAGTAATTTGTGGCTCTATAACCTAATTTTTATTAAATTTGTTGACCTGTGTAAATTATGCAGAAGAGGGGAGAGTTGCAAAACCAGGTGTTGAAATCAGATGGTAATTCTATTTGCAGTCCTTATTCAACCAGAAAGCAGAGGCTTAACTCAGTCATTTCTAGGTCCTCCTCCAAGAAATGGAGGACGAATTTCTTTCACCACGTGGTGCTTTTTTTTTAAATGACTTTTAAAAATTAACTTATTTATTTTTTGTTTTTGGCTGTGTTGGGTCTTCCTTGCTTGCAAGGGCTTTCTCTAGTTTTGGCAAGCAGGGGCTACTCTTACTTGTGGTGCACTGGACTTCTCATTGCAGTGGCTTTTCTTGTTGCAGAGCACAGGCTTTAGAGCTTGGGGGCTTCAGTAGTTGCAGCACATGGTCTCAGTAGTCGTGCGCACCAGCTTAGGTGCCCTGAGGCATGTGGGATCCTCCTGGACCATAGATTAAACCCCTACCCCCAGCACTGGCAGGCAGACTCCCAAACACTAGACCCCCAGGGAAGCCCACTAAAATGGCCATTGTTAACAGTACTGCTTTCCTCTCCTTTAAATTTCCAGATTATTTTTCCTCTAAATTTGATTGTTCACAATATGAGGTTTATGTGCTTTATATCCTAACCTGAAGCTCTTCTTTGATGTCTGGTAAATAACTTTACAGTATTTCACTAGGCCTGTGGTTACAGGTGTTGATAATCTTTTAACACTCAAAACCTAGATTCACCAGTTACTTTGATATTTAACAGCTGTATTATTCCCTTGAATGATCTGCTAAATTAGTGAGCTCTGAGCTGAAGTCTGCGGCTAAGAATTGAATAGATGTTCCTTGCTCGTCCCCCTCATCCTTTTTCTGCAGATGTTGAAGGGTGGGCTGGATTGATGTGGCTTGCATTTTTAGTTGTTTTTTTTCTAGAGTAGAGGAATTAAATGTCTTTCATTATACCCCAAAAAAGAAGCCTCTCTCACTCAGAAATAAATAAGGTAATCTGCAAATAGGACAAACTCTTTCTACTTCAACCTATACAGGCCGCCACTTACACTCAGTTCTGCTCACTCAACTCAAACTTCTTCAAAGTAACTTGGTAAATCCCTTCCCCTGTGAGACGCATGCACCACCTGTAATGTAGAGAAAGTAAAGTAGACCCGGTTTTCTGAGTCTGAGCAAATGAGATCCCCTGAGAGAAATGATTTTCAGAGTTGGTCTTGTGTTTGCATCTGGTGGTTTTCTGGGATGAGTGGCCAATTACGATGAGAATTTGAAATGTGCCACAGTCCTCCAACAATTTTGAAAAACTTAAGAAAAGGGCCGAGGGCATAGGCCCAGAGATAAAGACATAACTTTCTCTTAGCTTGTGTTTATCTCTGTATCATAACATGAAGTCTTTTTTTCTTATCATGATCATTTCATAATGTTCGAAAATGTCAAATCACTCCATAGTATACTCAAAACTAACATAGTATTGTACATCAGTTATATTTCAACAAAATAGAAAAAAAAAATTAACTTTGTTGTTTTTGTTCAGTTGCTCAGTCATGTCTGACTCTGCGACCCCAAGGATGGTAGCTCACCAGGCTCCTCTGTCCATGGGATTCTCCAGACAAGAATGCTGGGATGGGATGTTATTTCCTTCTCCAGGGGATCTTCCTGACCCAGGGTTGGAACCCACTTCTTCTGTATTGGCAGGCAGATTCTTTACCACTGAGCCACCAGGGAAGCCCTAATGTGACTTTAGAATGGAATAAATGCAACATTTGATGCCAATAATATAAAAGCAAATGGTTGGTCTTCCATGTCTTCAGTAGAATATTATGTTTTGGACTTTGGACCAAATTTTAGGAAGAACCTTTGACAAAGAATAAGAAAGCAGAACTGAGCCAAAGGTCCTGAGACAACTTTTTAAATAATTGTTGAATTACAACCTTTACATAAACATTGGAGCACCGTAACTGAGTGCAAAAAACACAGTATTTATTGGTTTATGATGTTTGTTGTAAAGAAATGCAAATTATATTTTAGTGAAGGCAGAGATTATGAACAAAAAGTTAAATAGGCAAGAATACTAGAGTGGGTTGTCATGCCCTCCTCCAGGGGATCTTCCTGACCCAGGGATCAAACCTGGGTCTCTTGCATTGCAGGCAGATTCTTTACTGTCTGAGCCACCAAGGAAGCCCAGATTGTTGGATGGATGAGCCTCTTATTTTACATCAACCAGTGCTTGGATGCTGGCTGCCCAGGTAGGAGCCAGGAACCAGGAGGAGATAATTTCCTTTGGCTGAATACCACGTGGTCAAAGGACAGTGCGGTTGCAGTAGAGTGGGGGTACCAACAGAAGAAAGGACTGAAAACTCACATATTGGTCTCCTGATAGGAGTTTATTGTCTCTGAAGCCTCCAGTCACTGGGAGCCTTCTTTCCCCCATAGGAAGTTTCTCCCTGTGTGGGTACTTGGGGCAAGGGAGGAGGTTTGTTGACTCTAAACATTAAAAAATGTATTTTTTTGGTCACACAGAATAATTTTACCTGAGAAAGAAGCTCAGAGGAAGAGGAAAGAAAGAAGGGATGGCCCTTTCCCAGGTAAAAGTCATATTCTTTGTTGATCTGTTAACTCTTTCCTAAAATGACATGATTTGGACTTGTTAAACTTCTCTGTCCATGAAGTTTCCTGCCTAAAATATTCAATCACACACAGGGCCTTCCCTGAGTCTCCTCTCATCTCCCTGCAGATTCTTCCTCACTGTGACCCAGTGACCTGGAACTTGGGAAGAGGCTCCTTTTAGGTGATCCTCCTGTGAAAGGTTTTGTTCTCATGTGAACTGGAGGTGGGAGTAGGTTCTGTGGTGTCAGTGAGGTGGGGCAGAGAACCCTTCTGCGTGCCCTTTCAGCTCCATGTAAACCAGGGTCAAAGAGACTGCATATAAGTGATGTTCCAGTGCTCACAAATACCTGAAGAAGTCTGAAAGGAAGACTGATATGGGGAAACATGCTTTTGAATGCATTTGAAGTTAAGTGAATCATTGTGTTTGACTCCAGAATATCAGTACTTTAAAATGGGAAGTTCCAAAATAGAGAGGGTGCTTTAGTATATGGCTGTGCTAAATCACTTCAGTTGTGTCCAACGCTTTGCAACCCCATGGACTGTAGCTGCCAGGCTTCTCTGTCCATGTAATTCTGCAGGCAAGAATACTGGAGTAGGTTGCCATTTCTTTCTCCAGGGAATCTTCCCAATCCAGGGATTGAACCCAAGTCCCTTATGTCTCGTGCATTGGCAGGTGGGTTCTTTACCACTAGCACTACCTGGGAAGTCGTGTTTTAGTACATAATTAGTTGTAAAAAATGGAATCAACTTAATTGCCTAACAGGAAAGGCTCTATAAATCATTCATATCACATTCATCGCCCAAAGACCCAGGTATTCTAGTAGGGACTCTCATGTAGCAGGTGTTTTCAGTTAAAATGGTTGTAATTCAGCCAAGACATGGGAGCAGAACTTTCTGCCATCAGAAAGCCTGGAGCCATGATCTGATTCTACCATTATAGTTGTTCAGTGTTGTATATTGCTAAAAAAAAATGCTAACCACCATCTGAGCCTTCAGCAAGTTATAGTCTTAACATCAGAGATCACAGATCACTATAACAAATAGTGCTGTATTTTTTTGTATTAAGCATCTCACGTATATACACTTGTGATTCAACTCCACATAGTGATGCAGGTTAGAGACTTAAGTAAAATAACCCTTTCTCTGTCATATCTTCCAGCATAACTTACTGTCTCCATCAGGAACAACTCTTTGTTCTCAGCCCAAATCTTAATAAAAATGCATATTATATTGTAATGTGGCTTTAGAAAATATTTTTCAGTAAGTGTTTTCTTATGGTATTTATTCTGCAAATTTAAATATTCACATGCCATACATGTTGGAGTTATTTTCACTTTAGTAAACATAGAGGTGATTTTCCTTTTTACATCCTCATTGGATTATTCTCTTCATGAAGACACAGGGTTTCACATTTGTTACTGTTAGTAAAAGATTTCACAGTGGCTGCTTTTGAGCGGGCCAGCTTCAGTACAGATGCCTAAGAATTTGTGCAGATTGGGCAGCTTAAGCATGTTATTGTTGTTGTAATTGTATAGTCCCTAAGTTGTGTTCAACTCTTTTGCGATTCCGTGGACTGTAGCCTGCCAGGCTCCTCTATCCATGGGATTCTCCAGGCAGGAATACTGGAGTGGGTTGCCATTTCCTTCACCAGAGCATAAGCATGATTACTGCATTAATGGTGGTGTTTCTAAGGAAGAACAGAAGTTGCAAGTACTAAGTAAATATTTTAAATCAACCATCTTAAACATTCTTAGAGAGCTACGGGGAGCCATGGACAAAGAACTAAAAGAAAGTGAGAGAACTGTGTTTAAACAAATAGAAAATATTAATAAAGGGTCTTCCCTGGTGGTCCAGTAGTTAAGACTCTGTACCTCCTTGTAGGGGGCAGAGGTTCAATCTCTGAATGGGGAAGTAAAATTTAAGATCCCACATACCACAAGGTGCAGGCCAAAAAAAAAGTTGAAAATAGGTATTCACATACATACTTGTACCTGGAAGTTCCAGCAGAACTGTTAAAAGTAAGAAAGAAGTGGTAACAAACTAAATGGCCATCAGGGGATGAGTGGATACATAAAATGTGTTGTAGTCATAGAATTAAATATTATTCAGCCCTGAAAAAGGAATACTTTAGGAGTGTAGTACTGATGCCATATCATGGATAAACTGAAAAAACCATTGTAAGTGGAAGAAGCCACACAGAAAAGCTCACATTTCATACTATTGCATTTATATGAAAATATCACAAGTAGGTAAATGCATAATGACAGTAAGCATTGTGGTATACAGGGATGGGGGGCAAAGAGGAACAGAAAGAGATTGTTCAATGGGTACATTTCTTTTAACAATGATAAAATGTTTAGGCAAGTGTTTGTTCAACATTGTGAGGGTACTAAATGCCACTCACTGAATGGTACCTTAAAATACATGTTTATATGTAAAATAATTCATGTTACATGTATTACATGAATTTCACCTCAGTTGAAAAAAATTTGAGAAAAGTAACTTGCTCCAAATTATCTTATGAATCGGTCAGGACATTTGCTCCAGCCAAGTCAATCCTTACACACGTTTGTTTCTGTAATTTTGTGTCAGACTCGGAGCTTGCTCCTTGTCCAGTTGGTGAAATGTGCTTTCCTTTCAGGGACTATTTACATTCAGGGATGTGGCCATCGAATTTTCTCAGGAGGAATGGGAATGCCTGGCCCCTTCTCAGAGGGCCTTGTATAGGGACGTGATGCTGGATACCTACAGGAACCTGGTCTCCCTGGGTGAGGATAACTTCTCTCCGGAAGTTGGTAACTAGTTCTGTGGATCTTTGAGTTTTCCCTTCTGAGTCTCAAACTTGGGACACCCTGGCATGCTTGTGAAAGTTTCAAATCCCTGTTCTAAAGACAGTGATTGAAGCTGTTTGGATTCAGAATGAAAAGGCTTCATGACATGTCTTATCACTCCATAACTTCTCATTTCTTCAGAAGTTGGGCATTCATGCTTGATCAGTGGTGGTTGCAGAATATTAATAGTCAGAAAGCCTTGCAGCACATTTTTTAAAAACATGTCACTCTGTGCTTCCACCCTTGTATTTTTGATTCAGTAGTTCTTAAAAGGTAATTAGGTGATCTGCACACCGTGCTGTGCTGTGCCCAGTGGCTCAGTTGTGTCTGACTCTTTGCAACCCCATGGGATTTTCCAGGCAAGGATACTGAAGTGGGTTGCCATCCCCTCCTCCAGGGGATCTCCCCAGTCCAGGGATCGAACCCTGGTCTCCCACATTGCAGGCAGATTCTTTACCATCTGAGCCACCAGGGAAGTCCATGAATACCGGAGTGGGTAGCCTATCCTTTCTGCAGTGGATTTTCCTGATTCTACTTAATCTAAAACTTTAGGAGGCAGTCAGTTGACTAATTTTTATGATACATTTCTAGACCCATCTATAATTTTCTCAGCTGAACAAAGTGCTGGGCATGTGTTCTGTAATAGCTAGCATGTCATGTCCCATTTTACTTTATGAATTGAAATCTCTTCTAAGCTGAATGTTATTTTCATCTTAGAGCAAGGGAAAGAGCCCTGGACTTTGGAAGGCAAAGTGAAAATAGGGGAAAATCAGACAACTAGGAATAATTGAGATGTGAATACAGATCAGAGCTCAAGTGGGCACAGAGTAAACTGCTCCATTAAATATTGCTTGGGAAATTCTCCTTAAATGGGAATTATCTGTAGAAAAATAACAGTTTGTTTGTTATCAGATCTCAAAGGAATCCATCCCATACTCTCAAACTTGTCACTTTCTCGTTCAAATATGTAAAAGTTTTAAACTCCATTCTACTGTGATGCTGTGGCTCATTCAGAGCTGAGGAAGGGCTTTGTTGTGACCTACAACATTCTATTTTCTGACACCGCTGACCATTTTGGTGCTTTGGTTTGAGAGGGACTGAGATGGCTCTCTCAGGAGTCATCTTTCCCCTTGATCTCTCTTGGTTTTCAGTTAATACGTATCAAGTTCTCTGTTGGCCTGACCCTAGGACTATTTTATTCATTCCCTTTCACATTTTATATCCTTGAGAGAACTTCTCAGGGGATAGACAAGCTTCAGTAATTCTCAAGATATATTTCAATTTTCCTATAATGTATTCCTTCTGGAATATATATCCTTTCCTCTGTTTTTACAGAAGAATCCTTTAGAATGCCAGAAACTGTTATTTGGTATAATTGTGGTTATTTATTAACTTAACCTGCTAGATTTATCATGGGTTGAGTGCATGCATGCCTGCTAAGTTGTATCAGTTGTGTCTGACTTTTTGCAACTCTATGCACTATAGCCCACCGGGCTCCTCCGCCCATGGGATTCTCCAGGCAAGCATACTGGAGTGAGTTGACAAGCCCTCCTTCAGGGGATCTTCCTGACCCAGTGATCAAACCCACATCACTTATGTCTCCTGCATTGGCAGGTGGGTTTTTTTTACCACTAGCACCACCTGGGAAACCCATTGTGAAATCTAGACTTAAAAATTTTTTTCTTATATTGCCACATGTTATTAAACACATTTTTTGTATAATTATGTAATTCAATATATTTATTTTCCAGATGATCTTATAGGAATCCTTTCTGCTGGATTTGCAATTAACAAATTATCACCAAGAGAGAACACTAATGTAGGAGAATTATATGGAAATGAAAACCGTGGCATCAAGGATTTTGACCTCGAGGAAGTATGTGAAAATATGCAGGAGAATGAGAGTGAGTGGGGATGTGATGCAAGAAATGACAAAGACTTGCTTTTGACCCATAACAAAAATCTCAGTCAGAGAGAAGATCAGTATAATAAATCCTTAATTAATTTTCCTCAGAGTGTTTCTACATATGAATATTTCATGCATGACAAGTCATTCCTAAGAAGTTGGTTAACAATGAAAAATAATATGAACATTGCTAGAAACAAAGATATAAAGTGTTTAGACAATAGAACTGGAGCAAGGCTGCAGGCACAGGTGGCTGAACTGCAGAGATTTACAACTGAGGAGAAAATGTATAGAGGCACTCAAGTTGAGAAGTCAGTCAGCAATGGTTCCTCAGTTTCCCCACTTCATAGAATTCCTCTTACTGTGGAAACTACCATGTTACCCACACAACACAGGAGAACACACACTGAAGAAAAATCTTACAACTGTAATGACTGTGGGAAGGCTTTTAGCAAAAGCTCAAACCTCAGAAATCACAGGAGAATTCACTCTGGACAGAAACCTTACAAATGTAATGTGTGTGGCAAAGCCTTTAACCAGGGTTCTAATCTCACTACACATCAGAGAGTGCACACAGGAGAGAAACCATATAAATGTGATGTCTGTGGCAAGGTCTTCAGTAGAAACTCACACCTTGAAAATCATCAGAGGATGCACACTGGAGAGAAACCTTACAAATGTAATGAATGTGGTAAGGCGTTTATCCAGTGTTCACTCCTTTGGAGTCATGAGAAAATGCACAGTGGTGAGAAACCTTACAAATGTAATGAATGTGGCAAAGCATTTGCTGAGCGGTCAAGCCTTAACAAACACAAGAAAATCCATACTGGAGAGAAACCGTACAAGTGTACTGTGTGTGGCAAAGCCTTTACCATGAGATCAAATCTTACCCAACACGAGACAATCCATACTGGAGAGAAACCTTACAAATGTAGTGAATGTGGCAGAGCTTTTACCCAATTTTCACGCCTTAGTCGACATCAGAAAATGCACACTGGAGAGAAACCACACAAGTGTAATGTGTGTGGTAAGGCTTTTATTGAACTTTCACAACTTTGGGGTCATGAGAGAATTCATACTGGAGAGAAACCACACAAGTGTAATGTGTGTGGTAAGGCTTTTATTGAACTTTCACAACTTTGGGGTCATGAGAGAATTCATACTGGAGAGAAACCACACAAGTGTAATGTGTGTGGCAAGGGATTTACCCAACGTTCAAGCCGTTTGGCACATCAGAGAATTCATACAGGAGAAAAATCTTACAAATGTAAAGACTGTGATAAGGCCTTTATCCAACGTTCCCAACTTTGGGGTCACGAGAGAACTCACACTGGAGAGAAACCTTACAAATGTAATGAGTGTGGCAAAGCTTTCACAATGCGTTCATACCTTACTCAACATAAAACCATCCATACTGGAGAGAAACCTTACAAATGTCATGAATGTGGCAGAGCTTATACCCAATTTGCAAGCCTCAGTAGGCATCAAAAAATGCATACTGAAAACAGACATAAATCCAACACATGTGGCAGTGCTTTTATTCAGAACTTGAGCTTTGGGGATCATCTGACAATTCATAGTAGAAAGAAACCTTAAAATGTAATGCCTGACACAAAACTTGTGCAAGTATTCAAGCCCTACTCAGGTTGAGAGACTCCATCATGGAGGAGGAGACATACAGATAGCCAGTAGGTACATGATACGATGCACAGCATCACCAATCATCAGGGAAATTCAAGTCAAAACCACAATGAGATACCACCTCACACCTGTCAGAATGGACTGTCATCGAAAGGACAAGTCACAGTGTTGGTGAAGATGAAAGAAGGGAACCTCAAGCACTTTTGGTAGGATTGTAAATTGGTAGCTACTATGGCAAACTATGGCCACTCCTCAAAAAATTAAAAATAGAGCTGCCATATAATCCAGCAATAGCACATCTAGCTATTTACCTAGAGAAAACAAAAATGCTCATTCAGAAAATATATGCACTTTGTTGTTCATTGTACCATTATTTATAATAGCCAAGGTAGGGGACTTCCCTGGTGGTCTAGTGGCTTAGAATCCGCAATTCCATTGCAGGAGGTATGGGTTCAATCCCTGGTCAGGGAGGTAATCCCACATGCCTTGAGGCCAAAAGAGCAAAACATAAAACAGAAAGAATATTGTAACAAATTCAATAAAGATTTTAAAAATGGTCATATTAAAAAAAAAAAATTTTTAACAAAATAGCCAATGTAAGAAAGCTACCAAAAGTACACCAATAGGTAAATCAATAAAGAAAATAGATAAAGGAAAAATATATATATACATACACACAGCCATATATATACACACATACAGTAGAATATTCATTGTGGAAAAAAGCTAAAATCTTGCCATTTCCAGTACCATACACAACTCTACAGGGTATTTGACTGGGTGCAATAAGTCAGAGAATGACACAGCACATGATTTCACTTATATGTGGAATTTAGAAAACAAAAGGAAAATAGTCTCATACATGGAACAAATATATGGTTGCCAGAAGGGCAGGTGTGTGTGAAGTGAAAGAAAGTAAAAAAGTGAAAGTGAAGTTGCTTAGTCGTGTCCAACTCTTTGTAACCCCATGGACTGTAGCATGGCAGGCTCCTCCATCCATGGAATTTTCCAGGCAAGGGTACTGGAGTGGGTTGCCATTTCCTCTTCCAGGGGATCTTCCCGACCCAGGGATGGAACCCCAGTCTCCTGCACTTCAGGCAGACTCTTTACCATCTGAGTCACCAGGGAAGCCCTTGTGTGGGAAGTAGGAGAGGTTTAAAAGGTACAGGTCTACGGTTACATAATGAAGTGTAGTGTGTAACATACAAAATAAGGAATATAGTCAGTGATAGTAACTCTGTACGGGGACAGATGGCTACTAGACTTACTGGGGTGATTATTTCATCCTGTATGGAGTAGTTAAGTAGTTATGTAGTACACCTGAAACATAATATTGTATTATCCACTGTGTGCATGCATGCTAAGTCAATTCAGGGATTGCATATGTGGGAGAAAAAATTAGGGGTGGAACAGGGGTCTCCCTGTTTTTTGAAGGGGAATAGCTACTGTATATATAAAATATTCAAAATTAGTCTCATTTTTGGAAACCAAAGGGACAGTGTTACAGAGGACAGTCATCAAAAGAATCAGAGTAGAGTATCTGTGAAGGCTGCAGATTTGGCCTCTAGAATTGCATTTTGATACCATTTTATTTATTAGGATGTATCATACTTCTCATATTCAACTAAGTAAAGTGTAATCTTTTTATAGTGTTAGTTGCTCAGTTGTGTCTGATTCTTTGTGACCCCATGGACCGTAGCCCACCAGGTTCCTCTGTCCATGGGATTTTCCAGGCAAGAATATTGGAGGGGGTAAGCCATTCCCTTCTACAGGGGATCTTCCCAACCCAGGGATTGAACCCAGGTCTCATGCAGTGCAAGGCAGATTCTTTACCATCTGAGCCAGTAGGGAGACCCACTCTTTTTTGTAACCCTTAGTGAATCGTGTGCCTTGTATTAATGCAAGCATATCCCACTGCATTGGGGGCTTCATAATAATGACCCTGAAGTATCTATCATCATGTTCTCTAGGTTGAATGGCATCTGTGACAATTTCTTTTCAAATTAGATTTAAACATAGTATTTGAAATAGATATATATTCATAATTAACATTGGGGTTACAAACTCCAGATTATTTCTGGAGCTACAAGCTACAGATTTTTTCTAGCTATAATGAAAATATTGTAACTACAATTTCAGACTCAGCCCCCTGAAATCTGCCTTCTCGGTTGTAAATATACACCATATGATTATATTCCTGCATACCTTTTTGTGTGTTTGCACTTGAAGCTTTACATCAAGTGACAAGATATGGTGAACATATAAAAATTACTAGGAGATGAAATTTCAGAAATAAAGATAAAATAGCAATCTCTTGTGTATGCTTGGAGTTCATATTTTAATAAAATTCATATATTAAGGCAAGACAAGAAAAAAACATACATTTGTTTGCTTGTGCTTCCTTCCTCCCGAATGTGCAGTGTGCATCTGAGTTACACATAAACCACAGCTCCTCAGAGGTGGGAGTGCCTCGACCGTAAAGGTCAACTTACTTTTTTATTTCTGACACTAGTGTTCTAGGATCTTCCCTAGTGGTCCAGTGGCTAAGACTTTGAACTCCCAATGCAGGGGGTCTGGGTTTGATCCCTGGTCAGGGAACTAGATCCCCCATGCTGCAACTAAGACCTGGCCAAATAAATATGAATTAGATAATTTTTAAAAAGAGTAGTGTTCTTTCTCAACTCTGTGAGAGGTCATGGTGACTTACTGCTTGCTTTGTACGTGGTTACCTGGACTGTATGTCCTTGGTGAAGTTTATGAAAAATGATCAGCATGTCATTTTGATGAACTATCCTTTATCTTGAAAATGTATATACAACTGTGTCTTCGACTTTTAATAGGCAGAACAGTTCTCAGAGCTTTATGAGAGTCTCCCAAGTTATAATTCTCAGCTTGGCTCAAATAAAATTCCCTTTTTCTTTCTTGATTGTTAATGGAATTTTTGTTGATACTTTCTTGTAGTCAGTAGGCTATCAGGGACACCTACCAGAGGACCCTGGAGTCCATTCCAAGCCCAAGCTTGGTACCACCGTGGATCCTTTGAGCTCCACCCACTTCTTGGTGTTTCTTGGGTACTTTAGTGATTTTTCCTGATATTCAGACATCAGTGCTTTAAATGATGTCCTGAGTTTTATTCTAACTGCTTTTTCTCAGGACTTGGAGTCCTTGGAGGGAGTATGGTTTAACATTCCCTAGGCAGGGGACTTCCCTGGTGTCCCAGTGGTTAATAATCTGCCTTGCAATTCAGGGGATGCAGGTTTGATCCCTGGTCAGGGAACTAAGGTCTCACATGCCATGGAGCAACTAAGCCTGAACACTGCAGCTACTGAGCCTGCACGCTCTGGAGCCCATGTGCCACGATGAAAGATCTTGCATGATGCAATGAAAATCCCACATGCCACAACTAAGACCCAATGCAGCCAAATAAATAAATGTTTAAAAAAAAAATTCCCTAGGCAGGGACCTTGAGGGAACTTTGTAATGGTCTGGTCTTTTTTTTTTTTTTTAATTTGGCTTAAATCGAAAAGATCATATATGATCTGAACAAACTGTTTGATAGTAAAATGAGATACTGATCCTGGGTTTACTGAAATAAAAGTAGTATCTCTCTTTGAGATGTTTGTGTTACCTCTGTCACAGTATTTGCCCATGAGAAAAAATAACCGTACAAACTAACTAGCATGACAATTTATCACAAATGTTCAGAATGTTACGTTGTATGGTGTGGGAGTAAAGAATTGGATGCTGTTACCAAAAGGTATGCGTGGGGGGTCTGGCAGCTTCTGCTGGAAAGCCCGTAAACGGGCCAGGTTGGGGAAAAGGAAAGTTAATTTCAGATGCTGGCAGCTGTGGGGGAGGGTGGTGGACATCTGTCCAAAGGCTGACTCCTCACCCTGCCCCTGACAAGCAGGGGGTGAGAGCTTTTATAGGCAGAGTGTGTGGGGGGAGGCAGATTACATGCAGAAGTAGCACAGTCATCTCTAACAGTCATCTTCATATTAGTCATCACTGGTCTGACTAGCAGTAGCATCTTGGTAGTTTTAGGTACAGTTAATATTTAGTTCTGGAGTGCACTTGTTTCCTTTTCTTTGCAGCCAATTCTTGGAATTGTGGCAGCTCAAGTCCTGGGTACAGTCTGCTCCTCGTGTAGTTACCTTCTCCACCTGGCGTTTTGGTATCTGTAGGACAGCTCCCAGGATATGGCTCAGAACATTACCTACCGCCCTTGAGAAAGAACTAAAGGTCCTTGACTAGGCTTAATGACTACATTATTATTATTTTGAGGAGGGGTGGGGAGGGGGCAAGGATCACAGAGTCCAGCTCCATTTCAGTGCCACAAATATAATTTGAGGTTTACCTGATGACAACCCACTAATCTGTAAACCTATGCATTGCAGCAGCATTCTTCTTTGTAGTGATAAAATGCATTCATTCATTCTATCAATGAGAAACAAGTCTAATCACTCATGATACAGCAGGGAATCAATGACCATCTCCAACTAGCTTATATTCTGTAAGGGAAGTCAGCAATAATAAAACAGGATGGTGATAAATACAATGAGGTGTGCATGTACTATTGTAGAGTGAGAGTCCTGATTTAAAGAGTGTGTTGAAAGAATGCCCTATGGGGAAAAAAAAAAAAGACAATGCCCTATGATATGGTTATATTTGAGAAGAATCACTCATTAATTGAAGAGTATCATGCAAATGGAGAAGGGCCATTGGGTGGACAAACTAGGAGAAAATTGCTAGGACAGGAACATTTACAATGACTGGGGACTAGTTACAACTGATGTATGGCTTGGTGGGGTGTGATAGTAAATTTCCACTGGAGATATTTAAACTTTGGGACTTCCAGTTAGATTTTTTTTTTTTCAGGACTTAGAAGCAGCCGTATATACACCGGCTGTGTATATACTTTTGTATGAACCGACAAAGGGGGGTTTGGAAACCCCAGTCTAAAGCCAGCTGGTCAGAAGCAGAGGTGACAACCTGGACTTCTGACTGGCATCTGAAATGTGTTGTGGGGGGAGTGGAGTGGGGACAGGGGAGGGGCAGATTTGTGGGATGTGTGGGATCTGATGCTATATTGGATAAGTGTTGAGGTTGAGTTGAATTGTAGGACACCCAGCTGGTGTCGCATGCAATTGCTTGTGGAAAAAAACACCCACTTATTTGTTGATCGGAAGTGTCAGAAGTGGAGTGTTCTCTGTCACTGTGGTAGTAGTTTAAGGGTAAAGGAAACATAAGAGGGAAGAAACACACAGGAAGAACTGGACTTTTCCCTCCACAGGAAAAAGGACACAAACAGGCTATCTTAGCATAAAATTCAGGTTAACTGAAGTA